GCTGTGCAGGCTGCGTCAAGAAACCAGTCTTGCCACAAACCTGTCGCTTCTGATCCCGGGTCCTAGTCACTGGTTACTATGTCATGTATCGTGTGATAATTATGTCAGTAGCCCATTTCGTGCGTTTCAAAATTGCGGTAAATGTCTTACATTTTCTTTGAAACGCCCCCCGAGGACCAGTAACAGTTGTCGTTAAGCCAATACACTTTACACGCGTGTATAGATATATTTATAGTCACCTTACTACTTGTAAAGGTTGTAGGTATATTCCTTTCATCGACGTCTTTCACTTGAGGATGGGTTCAGTTTACCTTCAGCTGTTGAGTATTGCTGACTCATGGTTCCGTGGACTAGGTGTCCTCGATCTAGGACAGCTTGAGGCTGTATCATCATGATGTTAGAGAATTATACTCAGATGCAATGTATAATATATCAATTTATAACTGAATAATTATGACAATATGGACTTTGTATCTACCCACTGGTATCATTCCAATACAGTGCCATCCTTTTTTCCCCTTTTAAACTGTTGCACGTCTTTATAGGTGATTAAAATAACCAGGATGTCCGGAACTTGATCAATATTTGAATTAGAAAATAAGAAAAGTGTTATAAATTCAAACTTCAAGTATTTGAATTTGCTAAAAGAGCATATTGGTGTCGGTGTGTAACCCATGAAAACAATCAAATACTTTCAAAGAAATGAGTGAGTGAAAATTGAAGCTGTCATCGGCAGTATTTCAGCTGTATCGTGACTGCTTTAAAAAAGGAAAGATAATTAAGAAAATGTAACTTATTATTACATATATATATCACATTGATGCGTATGAAGTACATACTGTTGATCACTGGATTGTCTGGTCCAGACTCGATTATTTACAGACCGCCGCCATATAGCTGGAATATTGCTGAGTGCGGCGTAAAACTAAACTCACTCACTCACTCACTACAGCTTAGTCATTGTTAAGCTACTTGATATCGGTTTTACTCGACAGAGCGGGTTTGTGTACGTGCGGTGTGTCACAGATATCACGGTCTCATGCAATATTAATTCAGAATATAATGGCATTAGAATGACTTTTATAAATTACCCATTAACGATTCTTTTTCTTGCGTGCACTGGCGCGACCATTCCTGTATGTAGCCAATGGCAATGTTCTATCAATAGCTGACTCAGAATGAGTTGGCACAAATTCAGCACAATGGGAAGGCTCCATTAAAGAACCTAAACAACGATGGTGGTGAACGGAGCAGAACATTGAATGCCTGGAGTGTTTATCTGTTGGATTATAACAGCGATCATTCTCCTCAATCCCACTTTGGCATATAAAAGAAAGCATTTTATTCGATACTACGTCGATCTTGGACCTTCAGTGCACATTGGTACAGGTGCACATTGGTACGTTAGAAATCAAGGTAATGTAACGTAATCTAATGGCATTGTTTGATTCGTTACAAACAATAAATATAAGTATTGTTATTGATTCCAAAGTGCCTTGTTTTTGTCATGTTCTGAATGCTCTGTTCAACTATGGGCCATGTTCTGAATGCTCTGTTTACATTCCGATAACATATACATGTAGTTGATTGTTTCTCTTTCACAAAATGGACGTATTGGTGAAAGCGTATATCCAATTTTATAAAGTAATTGACTTGTTGGTAGGATATCGTGAATATTTTATGTTGCAACATTTCAAGCCTACGCTTCGCGGACATTTATTTGCAAAACTGTTTTAAAATTCCAGTCATTTTCAATAAAATCACTCTGTAAAACTCTTTACCATTTTGGAAAGCTTGGCAAGCGAACAAATTTTGAGTTTATGTTTAGTGTTCGACCATATGTTCTTATGGCTCTTTCCACCTATTCATACCTTTAAAACTTTAGTTTTTATTGAAAACGTTTTGGAAAATGTAACGATGTAAAAATGTTCTGAATGTTCTGCGATGGGCCATGTTTTGAATGTTCTGCGATGGGCCATGTTTTGAATGTTCTGCGATGGGCCATGTTTTGAATGTTCTGCGATGGGCCATGTTTTGAATGTTCTGCGATGGGCCATGTTTTGAATGTTCTGCGATGGGCCATGTTTTAAATGTTCTGCGATGGGCCATGTTTTAAATGTTCTGCGATGGGCCATGTTTTGAATGTTCTGCGATGGGCCATGTTCTGCGAATGTTCTGCGATGGGCCATGTTCTGCGAATGTTTTAAATGTTCTGATGGGCCATGTTTTGAATGTTCTGCGATGGGCCATGTTTTGAATGTTCTGCGATGGGCCATGTTTTAAATGTTCTGCGATGGGCCATGTTTTGAATGTTCTGCGATGGGCCATGTTTTGAATGTTCTGCGATGGGCCATGTTTTAAATGTTCTGCGATGGGCCATGTTTTGTTTTAAATGTTCTGCGATGGGCCATGTTCTGCGATGGGCCATGTTTTGAATGTTCTGCGATGGGCCATGTTTTGAATGTTCTGCGATGGGCCATGTTCTGCGATGGGCCATGTTTTAAATGTTTGGGTCATGTTTTTAAATGTTCTGCGATGGGCCATGTTTTTAAATGTTCTGCGATGGGCCATGTTTTGAATGTTCTGCGATGGGCCATGTTTAGAAATGTTCTGCGATGGGCCATGTTTTGAATGTTCTGCGATGGGCCATGTTTTGAATGTTCTGCGATGGGCCAATGTTCTGCGATGGCCATGAATGTTCTGCGATGGGCCATGTTTTGAAATGTTCTGCGATGGGCCATGTTTTGAATGTTCTGCGATGGGCCATGGCCATGAATGTTCTGATATGGGTCATGTTCTGAATGTTCTGCGATGGGCCAATGTCATGCTCTGAAATGTTCTCTGCGATGAGTCATGTTCTGAATGCCCTGTGATAGGTCATGTTCTGAACGCTCTGCTCAACAATTTATCATGTTCTGAATGCTCTGTTCTGCGATGGGTCATGTTCTGAATACTCTGATCTGCGATGGGTCATGAACTGCCTGACTCTGTAATACTCTGCCATGCTTCAGGCACTGATTAGTTATGCTCTGTTGTGCGATGAATCATGTTCTGCAATGGTTCGGACACTGCCCAGCAGCTATGCTCGGCTCTGCGATGGGTCAAGCCCTGCCCGATTCTGTTCTGTTCTCCTGGATGTCATACACTGTCCGTCTCTGTTTTGTTCTGCAATGGCTGTCGCACTGTCCGTCTCTGCTCTGCTATGTGCAAAGCACTATACTGCCCATCAGCTCAATCACCACCTGCTGCGGAGGATACACTCCGGTGTTGGACGATGTCAGGTTCATCCATGAACGGAGGGGTAGCCAAGATGTTTAAGTGTTGGCTCGTCACGCCGAAGACCCTGGTTCGATTCCCCACAGTGGTACAATGTGTGAAACCTATTCTGGTGTCCCCGCCGTGACACTGTTGCACTATAGCTAGTCTGCCATACAGACCCTGAAACAAACACATCCACGAAAGCCCACGCAAGTCTAGATTATGTGGCAAGATTTCCACAGTTAGAAAGTCTCAGGGCTCTTTTTCATTATATTTTTATTTTTGTATTATGAACTGTTTTTGTCTGTAAAATATGTTCATTTCAGAGGTTAGTTGTTAGTTAAACTATCGCGTAATACTAAAACCCCACTCATTCACTCACTCACTAATCCATGAACGAACTGCAAGATCTTAATCGTAATCGTGACAACAACAAACAAAAAGGTGAATGAGTGAATATGGTTTTACGCCGCTTTTAGCAATATACCAGCAATATCACGGCGGGGGGCCAGAAATGGGCTTCACACATTGTTCCCATGGGGGAATCGAACCCGGGTCTGCAGCGTGACGAGACAACGCTTTAACCACTAGGCTACCCCACCGCCCCACAACAAAAAAGAAAATAGACAAGGTACAGATGAGTGATGAAAGGGTCCGTTTATCACGCAGAAACCTGTGTTTGGCGGCCAACAGGGTATGGGTGTTCGAAGCCAGGTACATCGATGACCCAAGCTAGACGACGTCGACCCTGTTTCCCGCCCTTTGTCTACATATTAGCATATTCCAAATTCCCATTTTGTCGCTATGAACACAAATTTCACGCGATACGTTTTTTTGGTGAAGATGAATTGTAATTAAACAAATATGACATGTAAAATGTTTAGATTTGCACTGTCAATAACTGATTCCCGATAGGTTACGATGGCATAACGGGTTAACAAGTCATATATTGATAAACAAACTTGTTATATAATGCGGGTTTCGACGACTAAACTAAACGTGTATTGTGGTCCGGTAATGGTACGATTCCAATTCCACCCCGCCCCCCAACCCCCTATCCCATCCTACGTTCAGTCCCTTCGGAACAATTCATTCAAAGTTGTTTAAACTTCACCATTTCGTCATTATCAAACATGCCACACGAAAGACGTGACTTCAGATCCACCCGCACTATATTTAGGCGAGAACCAGGAACATATACAGATATCACATTTCAGATCCTGGTTTAAGCAAACATACATTGCATGATATAGGTATATCAAATTCGAGTCTATCAGGCCAGCCCCCACCTGTAAATAATTCAGAAACTATATTTTTGTTGGGGTGAATTTGTTTCCGTCCATGTTAATATATTTTTGGAGGTTGTCTATGCAGGTACAGCAACGTCCGGGTAGCCTATGGTTTTTTTCCGAAATGTATCAAAACCTTGCTTGCTGTGTACTAAGTTAAATCACTGGCTGGCTCAAATTGTCAAATCGATACTGTCTTTGCTGATACAGCCATGCAAGCGATATCGATTATATGTAACAATGTTATGTGGGAGTATGGCGAATGAGTGATACAGGTGTATCTGTATTATATTTTTATCTTCAAGCTAAATTAACGTTTCCCCTGATAAACCTTTACCTACAAAAACATATGCTACGTAAAGCAAAACCATCACTACACCTACTCTCCGCATGGACTGGCAATCGCAGTAGTCACCATGGTAACGCGCTACACAAACTGGTGGCCAGGAGAAGGCGTTGCTCATTCAGCTGTGACTCGCCGGGCAGACGACACTCCATCTGCCGAACTGTTTGACGAAGTGGAGGGCGGCAATATCTATCGGTGACCCGGGAGCGGTCGGATATACTACTGATCCACGAAGTATGAATTAAAACGAGACATGCGCACGGAGCTTGGAGCTTCTTACATGTGTGAATTGTGAAACATTGTACACAGCTGGGTCAACTGCTTCACCGCCGCTCGTTGTTCACAGAGAGGGTTGACAAACACCGGAGCTCTGTCACACCAGGAGAAAGCGTGGCCATCGCCGGTCCTAGTTTTGTCTGCGGGCGTGCCTACACCAGTAAAGTAAGTTAACTTGTGGACTTTACTTTTGACGTGCCTGTTGCAATGCGGAAGTCATGGGTAATCAGTGGTTTACATGACATCTATTATCAGGGATATCATATCTATACTTCCGTGTTAACGGGCTTGATCAGGATTTCTACATCGATGTCTCCCCTGGCTCTGCGTTGTTTAACTGCTATATAAATTTAATGAGGTTTGACTCAATGCTTCAATGAATGACTAAGCATCTTCAGTCAGCTTCTGGACCGACCACCTGATGCTTCCTCACCTGACTGTTAAATCGACATGGCTTATTAGATTAGCGAGTCTGTTATAAATGCACGATTTGGCAGACCTGAATCTATATATATGACCTACTTTAGACATTTTGTAGACGCTGTATGTTAGTGACTTACCTACTGGTAATATTGACAGCTTGGTTAGGACAGTTACTCCGAGAGGTGGGTGTTCGCTTGTCATGCCTCGGAAACCGGTTCGATGCCCACATGGGTAAAAATTGTGAAGCCAATTTTCACTGTCCCCCGTTATGATAAAAACGGCAAAAAGCCATACTCACTCACTCACACACTCACTAACTCACGCACGCATTCACTCATTCACTCGTGTACAAATGTCATACCTGGATACAAATGCTGTGACATGCATGAAAAAAGTCATTGCATATGTATGTTTACTAATATCATTGACGGCTGGATTGAGAACCTTGGCTAAACTTGTAGTTGTAGCAAACAAAGTGGTGTTTCAAAGACTTGAATGCACCTTTCTAGGGCTGCCAGTTTATACGAGCCCTGTTCTCCAGGGTCCTAGACCCGTTTGGAGCGTAAGCGAGATATATGTTTTCTACCTGTATTGACTAGCATTAGATACACCCCATAAAGGTCACTCACCCTCACGCTGGAGAGATCACAGACGCAAATACTGGAAACACCGATACTATCTTTTCTCTTTCTATGTAAAGTAGGCCTACTCCGAATAGATTATGAAGTATTGCCAAATAGGCCTGAACCTTTATAGATTCTACTCCCTTGGATCGCATGTTAGATGTACCTATTTCAGGAATGCTTTTAACATTCTGGTGGTTTTTTTATGTCAATGCATAGTATATTAATGACACAGTGTCTGATAACTGTTATCGTTACTCAGATGGGGCGGTGGGGTAGCTTAGTGGTTAGAGCGTTCGCTCGTCACGCCGAAGACCCGGGTTCGATTCCCCACATGGGTACAATGCGTGAAGCCCATTTCTGGTGTCCCCCCGCCGTGATATTGCTGGAATATTGCTAAAAGCGGTGTAAACCTAGACTCACTCACTGACTCGTTACTCACAAAACTGTTTTACTGTAAATGCGGAAGTATTGACTTTATTAACTGTACACCAGATATTCATTTTCCTAATGTGGAAGTAATTATGACGTGGTTAAGGCGTTGGCCATTTACCTGGCTACCACGTGTGAAGTCGATTACTGATGTCCTGACCTGAAATACTACTACAATGGGAGTCACAGCTTAATGATACGCTTATAAATATAACCGGTCCCAGTATCTCTGTCCAGTGATAATATTGCTGATCCGAGTATATATATCCCATGAAAAATATAGCCAGTCCCAGTATTTATATCCCATGAAAAATATAGCCGGTCCCAGTATTTATACCCCATGAAAAATATAGCCGGTCTCAGTATTTATATCCCAGTATTTAAATCCCATGAAAAATTTAGCCGGTCCCAGTATTTATATCCCAGTATTTAAATCCCATGAAAAATATAGCCGGTCCAAGTATTTATATCCCATGAATAACAGGCCCGGTCCAAATAAAAATTATATAGCCAATGATAAACATATCCGGTACCACCATATATCTCCGAAGATAATATATCCGGTTTCAATTTATGTGTCCTTTGATAAATATATTCGAACATATAGCCGGTTCGAATACGCATGTCTTATAATCCAAATATCCGATCCAAATAGCTGTGTCCAACGATAAATATATCCGGTCCCTTTGTCTATGCACTATCAGCAAAATTACGGGCCACTATATCCACCCTGGCAGCGGGGTGCCAAGGCTTGATATTAGTAGGTCTATACTATATGGATATTTTCCGTAAAGAAAGAAAACGAACCTGGTATTCCAGTATACGAGAGACATGTAGATATTCCTTGGCTGTGCACGACTTGATAATGAAACAATAAATGTGGATACAAAACACATCAGTAAAAACGTATGTGAATTCTGCAGTGCAACTGAGACGTTAATAACCAAGTAAAATATAATAAAGAAAGATAGCGATGCGTCAGCAAACAACGACATCGTGTTTACACGATATTCTGATGACCCGGAGCCCATAACAGTTAAGGGGTCGTCTCAAACGTAACAAACTCGATATTTCAACATACAATTGTACTCGCTGCTCAAGTACCATAGGCGGATCCAGAGGAGGGGTACGCACCCCATTTTTGTCCTGATAGTTTATTAAATGACCATTGATACACTTGTGAAAACGGCTGGAAATGATCTGTGCACACACCCACCCATTTCTAAAAAAGCTGTATCCGCCCCTGAGTACACTAGTCCGCGTCAGCTGAGGAAATAACAACGTTGGTTTTACAGTCAGTTACAAAGCAGTGTGATAAATGATTTAGCCTGATAAAGCATGTGCTGAACGGATTAAATATGTGAGGCCTCTCGATTATCTGAAGGCCGCCGTTGCTGAAACCATGGGTCTCATGCTGCTATTCAAGCTGCTCACGCCAAATCCCACCTCACTCTCATATCGGGTGTTATTCAGTCAACACCTGCCTGCCTGGTAGATGTCGCTCAGGTGGAGTTACCATAATTATAATATCAATAGAGTATAAGAACACTTGCTATGCAACCCACGACTCTATTCCGTGTGTTTCGTTGGCTATAGAGTTGGGTCCCCGTATCGGTTTCATCAGATCAACACACACCGTTGCAACATATGTTACATTTGGTATTACACTTTTCAGTACTTGGGGGGGTGAGTCTCATCCGGGATCGAAGAGTGGGGCACCTGTTCACCAGGACACAGGGTGAACTGTCCAACCCACTCAGCCATCGCGGAAAGAGTAATCACAAATCTGTTACATTTCACCATCATCTTTAAAGCCCTGTCCCTTACACATAGTTTTGTTTGGTTTGAAGTTGATTAAATGCTTCTCTCTTGGGGCGGTGGGGTAGATAGGTCTCGCGCGAGCATAATGTGTGAAGCCCATTTCTGGGGTCCCCCGCCGTGATATTGAAGGCATATTGCTACCAGCGGCGTAAAACTAAATTCACTCTCTCACTCACTCACTCACTCACTCACTAAATGTTTTTAGTAGTTACAGATTACGGTGTTTGTTCTCCTTGCGTTTATTCTTTGTTTATCGCGGGGCTCTGCAATATTCCAGCACTATGACGACGTGTATGTAAAAATGATCGAGTCTGGACCAGGCAATCCAGTGATTGACATAAAAAAGTATATATCGATCAAGGCAATTTTAAAGGGTGACATGTAAAATAGCTAGCCTGAGCACCCGATCTCTGTAGCCACCCTTCACGACAACATAGATTGGTGACAACAAATTCTAACCCGATATTTAACGGACACATACCCCAACCACCCAGAACAACCAGTTTTTTGCAACCGCTTCTAAACTAATTACCAACTGGTACATAACTCATTTTGAATGGGTATTTTTTGTAACGCCTCACCGAACACAACTTCATGAATAGATCCGCAAATGCTGAGTAATGATATTATGTAAACGCTGTGAGCCCTTCTAAAGCATTCATCGATGTTTTCATGACATGTCGCAGTGATATATTTGTAAAGCGGATATGCCCTTGCGAAAGTCATTATGCATGTTTTTCACGGCAGATGATGTTACTTCATGTTCTGTGCACAAAGCTTGTTGTCTGAACGGCAATTTGTGCAAGCCCTTTGAGCAACAGAGCCCTGCAGGTGCGCCACTGTCGTGTTGGACAAGCTTTGTGTAGACATAGCCCCGTTCCACAAAGCGTTATGGGAGTTACGATCACCTTAGCGTTAAGACGACCGTAAGTCAGTATTACGTTAAGGGAGTTACGATCACCTTAGACCGTAAGTCAGTGTTACAGACGACCGTAAGTCAGTACAATCAATTACGTTAAGTCAGTGTGACGTTGTGGGAGTTACGATCACCTTAGTGCCGATAGGACCGTAAATCAGTGTTACGTTATGGAAGTTACGATCATCTTGGCGCTGAGGCGACCGTAAGTCAGTGTTACGTTGTGGGAGTTACGGTCACCTTAGCGCTGAGAGGACCGTAAGTCAGCGTTACATTTTGGGAGTAATTCAGTGTTACGTTTTGGGAGTTACGATCAACTTAGCATTAAGACGACCGTAAGTCAGTGTTACGTTATGGGTGTTACGATCACCTTAGCACGAAGATCGCTTTTGGAACGGGGATCCTGTCTACCTAAAGCTCGGTACCCGGGGGAAATGGGCTGTCAGCATCCTAGTAGTAATAATGCTGGTTGTAAGGCGCAACCACATGGATCGATGCACGATTGCTAGTATGCACGTCATTGAACCACGACGGTGACGGCCGTCGCTCATGTTAACTCTTACTGGATCTTCTGGTCTTGACAATCAAGGAAAAATCAAAACAAGAACCCTTGTGTCCAATTGTTGTTGGAGTAGTAGTAGTAGTAGTAGTAGTAGTAGTAGTAGTAGTAAAAAATCAACAACTACCCTTGCTTGTAGTAGTTGTGATAGTAGTAGTCGTATGTGGCCACCTGGTAGTAGTACTAAAACCCAACAACGCTTGATAGGTCCGGTTAGTAGTGCTACCTCAACTCGGCGAAGGTTTTAGAAAGAACGCTGAATGTCGATCCACCCGGTCACACACAGCCCAGTGACAGATGATACCAGTAGATGTGTACACGCGTGACTTGAACTGATTTTAGTAAGTCATATGAACTGTACGTCAGCTATTCAAATGCGCATCTCCAGAAACTTTTCTGCTCCATTAAATCAGTGCATCCCAGGAGCTTGAATGTTATCCTGAATACACAGCTGAATCAATTTGAATGGTTGATTCAAAGAAGCGCCATACGTTATTTGTAGGGTTTGGATTGTGTACCTGGATGGGCATACGTTGAGTTGGGATTCCAGGGTTGTATGCATATTTATCAATCATTATTATTGATTGTCACAAGAGCCGAGAAGGGAAAGCACAGGTTAGTTCCATCAGTCGTGACGGCCAACCTTTGCTCTGACTTCAATGAAGCCTCTTCGTGACACCTGTCTTCAAGGCTTTACCCAGTTTGTAACCATGTGTAAAACGTCACTGATCGCTTTCATAGCGAGGAAAATTCGAATTCATAAAAGAATATTACTGTAAGTAGTATTCCTTCACGTTAGAATTCAAACACATGCATCTACGTTCAGTAATAATCACAATATTCTGTTTCACATAGCAACGACTATGGGATGTTTTCAGGATTTTGTAAAGTTCTGATATGACCTTGATCTGTATCATTGAACAAAACCATGAAGAAATGTCTAATGGCCCTAACTGAATGTCATAGTAAATGCATCGAGACGCTACTCAAATCACAATGACGTAAAATAGTTACAAGATCTCACAGGGTCGTATAAACTTACAGCTCCACGTCTTTGGGAGAAGTTTGAGTATGTGTCAGAAAATGGAAGCAAAAAATGCCTCATGGAACGAAGCCCAGGCTCGGATCTTTATTTACAACGCCAGTTGCATGTCCTTATGTTAAAATGGACCTAGGAGAATCGTGACAGATCACTTGCACATGGCGAAGATAGCCTTATACCTGTGGTAACTCGTCACTTTAACATTGACAAGGATATAATAGTCACAGCCCTAACCTGAACAAAGCGATGTTTTATAGTGCATTTCATACATATATCGGGGCGGTGGGGTAGCCCAGTGGTTAAAGCGTTCGCTCGTCACGCCAAAGACCCGGGCTCGATTCCCAACATGGGTACAGTGTGTGAAGCCCATTTCTGGTGTCCCTCGCCGTGATATTGCTGAAATATTGCTAAAAGCGTAAAACTAAACTGACTCACTCACTCATAAATATGTCACATGGACTTGTTTATCTTTGCTATGTTGGAGCTGTCACGAATATGCGGGTACATGTACGTAGAGCCGTCTATAAACAAAGTACACAAAGCCCGCCTTAGCATGTGAGTGTTGGCAGTAGCAACCATTTCCATAACCATATAGAATCTCTGCGAAAAGCATTGTCGTATATGTGGACATGTACGCTTTGAAATGAGAAGACAGGTACGAACGCTGTTGGTTTTACGACTTACAATTGAAAATACTATTGTAGTCAATCCATTTGATGGCCGTAAATTACATTCTGCCTTTGATTCATTCTTCCAGTTGTGAAAATACGGGATTGTATCAATGGGAAATACGACGTCGACGGTAACGTTATTGATTGGTTTGATCGTTGGGTCGATATTCACCTCCACGAACGAGTACTGATAATCTGTCAGGATGAGGTGAACGATGATGTCGTGCTTTTCACACCTACCTGAGATGACCTCCGTTTCTTGTGGTCTTCACTACCAACAAACACGTTGTGAAACCTGCTCAACCATAACGCGTTTATCGCATTGATCTGCCCTAGTGGCACACATGTGTAGTAGGTGACTTGCAGTTTTTCCAAAGCTCTACCAGATTTGCACAGTCATGCGATGTTACAGCTGTGATGGCCTACTTCTTACATTATTAAACAAGTGTGAACTGTAAACCTTTTGTACCAGGGTCTCCTGCCACGTTTCTTTTCTGTTCGTTACTTTTTCCATTTGCAATTATCAAGCTTCATTATAACCATATCCATGATCGATACCTGCCTGGGGCTTCAGCACAGATGCATAACAAATTCCAAGTCGAATCACAATACCAAAGGCAAAGGAAACACATTCTGAGTGGAGTAATAAATTATGCATAAGTCATAAAATGCTATATTTATCTGACCCCTTGTGGATTCCCAGCGAGAAGAGGTCCACCAGCCACCGGTGTTGGTCGTAAAAGCGACCAAATGTATCGGGTGTGAGTCTCGGTGACTCCCTAAGAGGGCAACGGGGTGGAGGCATGTTCGCGTACAGACTGGATTGTTTACAAACCGCCGTCAAGTAGCTGGAAAAGTGCTGACTAAAACGTTAAACAACAAACAATGTATGTAAACTGTAATCTCTCTGATAGATAGCTCACAAGTACCAACAACCTTCCGACACAGAGTGTACTGGTGTATGTTTCAGAATACGTATCGAGGACAGTTCAAAAGGACAAACAAATCCTGTGTATAGCGTTTAACAATTCGGAAAACCTTTTTCCACATCCATAAGAGTGAGTGAGTATGGTTTTTCGCCGCTTTGAGCAATATTCCAGCAATATCACGGAGAGTTACACCAGAAATGGGCTTCACATACTGTACCCATGTGGGGAATCGAACCCTGATTTTCGGCATGACGATCGAACGCTTTAGGCTACCCCACCGCCCCACATGCCTAAGAAATCTCTGCTTTCAGCAGAGACGATTACTGATCTACTTTTATTGCAATACACACATGTACGGTGCACCCATAAAATAATTTAGTAGTCCTGGCTAATTGTCAGTTTGCGAGACGTTGCCCATTTTTATGTCACTACCATCAAACTACACTATTATTACGAAACCACCAAGCCCCAAACAACGACGACCGCGTTTGGAGCTGTCCCAAAGCTACGAGTGAGTGAATCAGTATGCTTTTTCGCCCCTTTTAGCAATATTCCAGTAATAACACGGACGGGGACACCAGAAATTGCACCCATGTGTGGAATCGAACCCGGATCTTCAGCATGACGAGCGGACGCTTTAGGCTACCCAATCGACCCATGCTATGACCCGTGCGTTTATTTCGCAACTGTATATGTTCATACAATTTAGATATTACTTATTTCGATACTTATGTTTTCTCACCTGTGTTGTTTGATTTCTATTCCAACGCACTTCTTCCAAGCACACCTAGCTATTTTTAAACATAGGCTATTTGTTTGTGACATTTAGACATCTAAATCACATAGTGTGCAACATGTTTTTGTCTTTTTCTGTGCCCGTGGATACAATGACAGAATAAGATGAGGCTTTGCTACTTGCTTAAACTTACAAAATAGATTTTAAAAATGCGTTTGCATTGTGTAAGTGACGGATGAGCGCAAACCGCGACGCAAATAGTTTTGTCGTCGATGTGTTCACATTCAATTCATGACATCCGACGATATGACTTGTTTGGTTGCTTGTGCATGTCACTATAAATATTTATTGACCGGTATCTGTTCAGTGGCATAACGTGACAGATGTGTTATTTCGTATATACTTTAATAACCTGGGATTATGGCCAGATATCAGGTGGCCCCATGACTGATGTGTATCGCACCTGTCTCACAACGCATCTTTTAGACGCTGATTGCAGCCATGGCACTGAAAGGACCTTGTTAGCGCCTGTCCCCATGTCCGAGATATATCATGTACACCACGGTTCACATATCGAGGGACAGGAATTGGTTATTGTGTAGTTGTAGTTCTAGCGCAGCTTACTACCTCGTACGATAGATTTTATCGGGTGTTTCTTGAAACCTTACACCTGAAAGGGGTCGTCTCAAGAACTGAATAGCTATTTGTCTCATATGTGTATGTGTTACATCGATATTTTATGCTGCATCACGGTACATACCAACTACAAGTCGTGACATTTATATTATATTACGGTTATGAATTTGCACTAATAGTGAATCCGATTGGCTCGAACAGAAGAACAAAATATACGACCGTTATATTTACACACGTGTGTCTTCTTATTAATTTATTTTTACTCACGTATGCCTTCATATTAATTTACATAGCCTGTGGAGGGTGTATTGGTTGTCTCCGAATCACAGTGAGAACGTTTATATGGGTATTAGTAGTCCATCACACAGTCTCAGAACTGACTATTTCCCTTCTGCCCAGCCTTTACTGTAATACAAAAGCCCCAAATGAAGAAAATATAGATTTTCCACATCTTCTATTTCACCGGTTCTCTTTTCCATCGTGAATGCAGTTAGCTGTTTCTATCAAAATTATATATCTATTGCCATAGATAAACATTAGTATGGCGTATAAACTACACATAAAGTAGGTGCGATGCGTGACTATCTGCTCAGCTGTAGTGAAAGTTAAACGATCCAAAGAAACGATACGGTTTCGAAACAGAAATACAGTCCATCTCGCCGTTGTGTCGAAGTTGAAGCGACCTACGTAAATACTTCGAGTCATCCGAGATTCGACACAAGTGCAAAATGATGACTTAAAAATGGGATATATGGAGGGACCAATCTTTTACTTCGAGACAACCGGTTCCCAATTGCGCAGATCGATGCTCATGCTGTCGACCACTGGATTGTCTGGTCCAGACTCGATTATTTACAGACCGCCGCCATATAGCTGGAATATTGCTGAGTGCGGCGTAAAAGTAAACTCACTCACTCACTTCGAGAGAGCCGTAATTCAAAACACCCAAGGTCAACACATCGGTGTTTGTTATAAAAGTATATACGACTGCTGTACGTTTGTGTTTGGATCCAACACAAATATGGACAATAACGTTAAATGCAACATGTAAGAAATTAACTTTCGTGATCGGCTCGTCATATTGATCTTTTTATGTCAGAATGGTTATGTCTGGATAGGTTTGTTTCTCTGTGTGAAATGGGATGATATGTGAATTTGTTGGTGCACTGATGATATTCTCTTCTGTCTGATTCCAGCCACCGCAATGAAAGCACAGAGGGTACAACAGCAGCATGACAAAGAAGACGTCCTGACTGAAAGTACGGAACAGTCAGGACATGTTTTCACAGTGGCAATCATCAGAGGAGTTATCGCCCTTACCGCTGCAGCGTGCGTGTACTACTACGACCCAATCCAGAGATGGACCAACTCTGCGTGGTACTGGCTGTTACAAAGTAGTCTTTTCAATTCGGTTTACTTCGAGAGCTGGTTAGCCACGTTTTGTTATGCAGTTCTTATACCTATATACCCCTACGCTCTCCATTACATGAAGTCTCTGAACAAATACAAAGTCCGCCCTTCAGTGACGTACGAACATCAGTCTATAGCAGGGATGCTACTTGACGCTGTTATCTACACGGCTCCTCTCATGCTCTTGGATACTTTCATTGTCAAGAAATACCACGGCGTTGACCCCGAGATTTGGGTCGAGAAGCGGAAGTCGTGGATCCAGACGACAAGAGCACTTCCGCTTGATCCGCCATCTTTCTCAGGGCTTGTGTTTGATCTTATCGCAAGTGTGTTGTTGTATGATGCGATGTTTTTCTTCCTGCATTTCGCTCTCCACAAGAACTTCTGGTTATATAAAACCTTCCACGCCCTACATCACGACCACGATGTGATGCACGCTCACGTCACTAACCAACTGACGGTAGGGGAGAGACTCGCGCTCATACTGTCGGCCAACTTTGCACTCAAGGTTTTCAACAGCCATCCTGTCACCAGGGCGTTGTTCGTTCCTGTGTTTATATATTTACTTATTGATAACCATACTGGGTATGATCTCCCGTGGGGCCTCCACAAAATAGTGCCGTTTGGAATCATGGGAGGCCCCAGAAAACATTACGCCCACCATTTGGAAGGCAAGAGACATTACCAGCCTTTCTTAACGTATCTAGACAATTTATTGGAAATGAAGCAGAAAAACAAACTTTTGTAACGATATGAGTTTGAACGTGTTATAATATCGTTACACTGCTACCGTGTGTCATATGTAATGTCTCTTCAGGATCCGCCTATCGTGGGTTTGAATCCCAATGATTGGCCTTGGTTTGCCACTATACCCGTGCGTGTATGGTATCATCACCATGTTAAACGTCTACGACCTGCGACGTTTTGGGCTTTCATCTCACAATCAGCTGACAACGTGATACGACTGTGATATTGCTCAAAGCGGCGTCAAAGCCAACTCACTCACACTTCACACTCACAACGTTTAACAGATTTATCATATGTGTGTGTGTCAAGAAAGAAGTCATCGATTCTTGCTGACAAAATTATATATTTTCGTTTTATAGAAATCATTGTATATAGTATCTTGAATGAACAGTGACATATGCCTCAGGAATAGATGGTTTTTTTAAAACATTTAGTCCCGAGAGTCTGAAGAATGATATTATAACTAAACAGTGCATTAATACCGACACGCCACCTAATTAGCCAGGATGGTAGTAATGCAAGAGTGAGTACGTTTTCTACCAATCCAGAATAAAAGAATACTCTTTACTCAGCTCTGCTGCCTCTGAACTGCTTTTCCTACTTGATTAATTATATTTTTGACGAGGATTGACGATCCAGAGAAATATTTATTTGTGGTTTAACCACCTTTCATGTATAGTGTATAGGAAGATTTCGTGCCATAGTTTAGGGACGGTTGAGAGGTCCAGTGGGTAAAGCACTCGCTCGTCACGTCTGTTTCTATTCCTCACACGTTCAAAATATGAAGCCCATTTCTGGTGGCCCCCGCTGTGATGGTACTGGAATATTGATGAAATCTACGTAAATACTCACTGACACATAATTACAACTGAAATAAGGCAGTTTTAAGCGATGATCACTACACAATATTCCGCATCTACCAAGACTGCCTGTAAATAATCCGAGACCAGCAGAAGGTAATTTGAACCACATTCTACACTGATGGGGCACCATGAAACACAATCTGACAAGTGATCGAGCCTGACCACCGAACCAGATTACTCGGCTCTTACGACAAGCAATAGGGTGCTGCGACCTATTTAACATAGCCAGACAGAAAATAGAACAGGAATGGTTTTTTTGTAAGCTTGTGTATACAGTTATTTATATATTTTCAAATTTTTCATTTATAGCTTTTCTCCAGAGAGTATATATTACCTTCGCGTATATGCTTTTGAACAGTCAACTCTCATCGACTATATACCTATCGATACGTATACTTGCAGAGACGATCATTTAGCCTTATGTAAAATTATATGTTTGACTGCATCAGTTACACAATGATATCTATGTTTGGACGTTACTTCATGTCATAAACGTTTGGTATGTATTCGACACGTCATGTCATTAAATGTCCAACTGGGATGTTGGCCTATATTCACCGAAATAAAGATGATTGTCTTGCCATTGCATGTATTTGTGACCGATACCATCCGTCGGGCAAGGAACGCTCGACTTTAAGCAAACACTTTGTATCTTTACTATCTGACAGTGGGACAGAAACACATGCTTATGATATATACCGAATCGTGTTTTTAACACCCACCGACGATATCAACCAGATGAATTGCATAAAGACCTGCTATTTTGTACTGTCAAAAGTTGGAACGGTCATCTTTAGCACTTATGAAAAGACGTAATTGGTTTTAGGTTTAGAAAAGGCACCACAATGATGAACCAGGAGTGAGTGAGTATGGTTTTACGCCGCTTTTAGCAATATTCCAGCAATATCACGGCGGGGACACCAGAAATGGGCTTCACACATTGTACCCATGTGCGGAATCGAACCCGGGTCTTCGGCGTGACGAGTGAACGCTTTAACCACTAGGCTACCCCGCCGCCCCTTATGAACCAGGAAGTTGTAATACCCAAAGGATAAGTTTCTTGACACAGGTTTATTTTATAGGAAATACTGTTTCTGGGATATACAAGGAAGGTGCAGGCCGCCAGCAAACACATTGTTTTTAACCGATCGAAGTCCTGTTTTATTCATTTTCAAAATAATAATGAAAGCTTTAAAAACCGAATTGCGGTGTAGCGTCTATAATATGAAAACAAGCCAGTGTTTGTGAAATGACTTGAGGAATTGGTACTTCGCCTAGCATAACAAAATGTATCAAGCCACGGTTTGATACTACGAATGTACACTGTAAACTGGCTGTTTTAAAGAACGTACACACCCAGTGTGAAACAAATAAGGTGGTTATTCGGCTGTCATGTATGCGAGTATCACAGGTGTGTTTTGTACCTTACAATGTAGGTCTCGGAGACTGTTTCAGCCAGTCAAGTTTTCATAACCTTTGTCATTTTAATTAAATCCATTTTTCAAGTGACTGTTTTCTTTTGTCCGGCAGGTTATGGTCCGGCTACTCAAGTTGATAAATGTTTTATGAACATATGTTTGATTCTGAATAGTTCCTATATAGTATTTTGAGATAACGAAGGGCTGACTGATTAGTGGATTGCAGTTTCAATAGAAGCTAGACTATATTGTATTAAATGTATAACATCAGTGTGGTGCCCTGTGGCGACTACAGCTGGTCCAGAGAATACAGAGCTGCTCTGTTATTCACAATATGTATTGCTGTACGCTGTATGTGTTGAACTAATCACAACATAATGTCCCTTTCTGATAACAACCACCATACCAATATGTTGCTGCTATTTTTTCGAATAACTGCAAACTGTATTATTATGCATGTATACTTGCCAGTGAAAGGATATCTTTTGGACTGTTGATGTATGAGTGTTGATGTTGATAGATTTTTAAAATAAAACACTTATTAGAAAGCTATCATTGTTCGTTATATCAACCATTAACCCTCTCTCCTCACATGGAACAAGGACTGGGCCTAGAGGATGGAGCGCCTGTCTGGACAACAGAAACAATCGTTCGATCTTCTACCACGTCACCCCAATGGACGTCAACAGATGGTTAAATACCTACATGCCTTTCTCCATACAAGTTTAAAGAGCTTTAAGGGGACGTTAATCCCGACCTTACCTCATAAATAATGGCAATAGCGGCTGACCACTACTGATTGTCTTTCATTTCCCGATGAACGTCCGTATGTCGCGTGATTACGTTGTCAGTCGAGCGGAGAGATACAGAACTACTTTTGGGGAATTCTCTATGTCTACAAATAATGTCTACTTGGGACGGTATCAAGATCCAGCAACATTTTTACATTTTGTGCATTTCATCAAAACTAAGTTTTCACCAGAATACATAATAATAGTTTAGATCTGTATATAATAATCATTGTTCTCCTGGCTTCTCAATAACATCTGCAGCTGTTTGGTATTATCGAACGTCTCGCGTGTGTCGAGCGAACCCTGAAGTCGTAGTTATCAAAACCACGGAGAACGCTGGTTCTATTTCAGTTAGTTTGCAACCATCTGTACAAAAGAGTCCAGAATGAACTCTGTACAGTAAGTTGATCAGCCATGATCCGTGAGCATGAATACCGGAAGTGATCGGGGCAAAGTTGAAGCAGCAATGACTGACAAAAGAATGCACTAGACTCGTGAGTCTGTGAGTCAAAAATATTCCAAGTGTCAAAACTGTACACACTCCACTGATAGCGACATCGATTCAGGCCCTAAACGATGCAGGTTGTGAAACCAGACGTATCATGTTTATGTCGGTTCACCGAAATGAAGCGATCATACGAAGCTACAACTGAGAGTGCTCTACTTACCAAATAAGCGCTAAACTCCACGCTGTCATGAATTGCATCGGAATACCCAACCGCGCCGAGTGAACCGATGATCCCTCACATCAGCAGGTCATCTACAATAGCTTAAACACACACCAAAAGTCCACAGAAGGTTCATATTTCCCAATTTTCACCATCAGCCGGTTCTGGAATTCGTTCCAACTGGAACCATACTGGGTGTAATACATGTTTCAATTAAATGACATTATCATTGCTGCCATTTTATGACGCTTATAAAACAAAGGGACATAACTCCCAATGGACTTTTTACGGCGGATAACGTCACGATCCTCCGCTTTGAGGTAGTTCCTCATAATGCTTTACTGTTTGCTGTTTAATTGATTGTTTTGTATGTTTATGTATTTGTCAATATAAGGATTGAAGTTGTATTTGTTGAGGTTCATCAGTTAATGAAGACATTGCCTCATATGAGCAAATTTACCATTAAACGCTTCGCGCATCACAGAATTTGCTCTCATGTCTCTCATGAGGTTTGTCTTCATCAGATGATGGGGCGATGGAGTAGTCTAATGGTTAAAGTGTTCGCTCGTCACGCCAAAGACCCGGGTTCGATCCCCCCACATGGGTACAATGTGTGAAGCCCATTTCTGATGTCCCCCCGCCATGATATTGCATGAATATTGCTAAAAGCGGCGTAAAATTAAACTCACTCACTCATCAGATGATAATTGTGAAGTCTTTAATGGAACACTGGCGGCCCAGTTTCCGAAGCTGATGATTAAGTTTTCAAAGTACATGTTGCTCCCATGTGTTTCTACGTTTGTAGTTAAGGCTTCCATCATCAAGTTGGCACACCATGATATAGCTGAAATACTGTTAATTACATTTCCTGATAAGAGGTCCCAACCAGGCTTGCTGACCTGGTTTATGCAGGTCATCGTGACCCAGTTGCGTAGATCGATGCTCATGATGTTAATCGCTGGATTCGATTCGATTATTTACAGAGGTATCCTCCCATTACCCCTACAGCTTATAACAACAAAGTTCACGGTCCAATGCACTGCTAATCCCCTTCCTGTTACCTGGACAATGGACAAGATTTAATGTTTTAATTTATGGATTTAATTACACAATTAAATGAATATAATACACAGATATCTTCCTGGTCGTGACATGAATATGAGAAGCAGGTCATGTTAACTTTTTAATGCTAATTTTTGTCTTTTAAACAAGTCTCTATCCCAATTTGAGGAGATGGCCCACATCGTCAAGGAACTGCATTGGTGTTTTCAGCCCAAGATTGAGCTGCTCCTTGAGGCGACACAAACGATGCTCCATCTCTCTGTATACTCTCTTTCTGCTTCTCTGTGCTGCTCCAAAGTCTATCGCTCTCTCAGCGTGTTCAACTTTCCTGATCATCTCCACAAATCACAAATCGGTAGATGTTGGGGTGTCGATGTGGGAGTCCCCGGTTCAGGCGGTTGTGGAATCCCTCTAGGTTGTTGTTTGACCTTTGACCTGTTGTTGAGTGATGGTTCCATAGTGGCAGACGGAATCTTGCGTCGTAGTAGACCCAGGTAGTCACCAATTAATCTTTGAAGGTGGCCGCTCTTGGTACATCGGGAGCGTCGTCCATGGCGTCAACCCACGTTGCCTGGATACTGTTCTGGGGTAAAAGGGGTAGTCCAGCCGCTCATCTTACCCATCTGGATATTTCCAGGTCCTCTCTGTAAGCAACAGCAAGTCCCAGATCCTGGACCTTCCTCCAAATGGCCTGACAGTAGTGGAAGAAGCAACCCTTCACTTCAGCAGTCGGAAACTCTCTCTCTATAGCATGAATTGCCGCCAGCTCAAAGTCTGTCTGGACACAGGATGGGGCAAGCGGCCGGTTAAGTCTCTGCTGAACTTCATTCTTGATGAGTCTGAAGAGTCTGGAGTAGGTCTCAGTCTGACCGGTGGGGAGTAAGGTGAAGATGAGGGGATAGGTTGTGGTTCCACGTCTTGCATGTAGGATGTACTCTTGATTCCACAGACCAGGGCAGGCAGTAAAGGTTCCATCCATATATATGATTTCAGAAGACTGCAAGGCCTGAAGACTATCCATGGTACCAAATGCCAGGATCTTATCGTCATCATCATCTGAAAACAGGAGGAAGGGTCGACCATCTGCTGTCTGCGTCCAGGAATCTTGAAGGTTCACTTCCGATCTCGTCTGCGGCAAAACAGGAATTGCCTTCTGTCGATGGCGGTACATAGCACTGCTCATGGTCGGGAAGGATGGCATCAATGGTATCTTATCATCGTCCAAGTTCTTAATCTCGTTGTTGTAGAGGGTGTGCATCGATGTTGACTCCTCCCTCGATCTCTTCCTCAGGTTGCTGACAAACCGGACCTTCTGGCTATCCTGTGGTGGATGATTATGCTCCGTCGCATTCCTCAAAACATTTCCGACTGTTGTGACTCTGCCTCTGCAAGGTGACTGGACACACTTCCAGTGTACACAAGACTGTCTGTCGACATTCTTAGTGTGTAGATAACCCTCAAATAGGACTTGGGTGCTACCTCTCCGTGACATAACAATCTCAACATTGCGAAGACCAGCCATGTTGATGTCATGTTAGTTTGTTTCCAACATTATATACTATGCTAAGTCATCTCAAATTACTTGTCTCATCTCAGTGTCAATTTCAACATTTACTTCATTTCATCTTAACAAACTTTCTCTAA